AAGCTTTAGAGTTTTCGTCGATGGGCGTGTCCGTGGCGGCCTCGCAAACTTTGACGATTCGCCACAAAACAGGAAGTCGTTATAACTCAGGCATGCATTATCCGATCTGCCTCAAAATTCACACGTTTGATAAGAGTCCTGACCTGAACACGTTTACACGCCAATATCCAGATACAGTTATAGCGCCACCTGCTGGCCACAGGAAATGACATGTTTTACATCGTAACAAACTCCTCCAACAATTTTTTTTGTATCAGCACCAAATTTGGGTTGTGTTATCTGAAAGCCCTAGCGATGATATATTGTGAAGATCTAGAGTTTTCGCAGAGGGGCGTGTCCGTGGCGGCATGACAAACCTCAACGCTTCGCCATGGAACAGGAAGTCCTTATAACTCAACCACACAATGTCCGATCTGCCTGAAACTTCACATGGTGGATAAAAGTCCTCTCCTGAACACATCCTCATAACAATAATGAAGTGGGCGTGGCAAAATGACTCGACAGCGCCACCTATAAAAAATAAACGGACGAGCCCCTGATCTACGAATCACGCACATGCACGAAAATTGGCACACACCTTAAACATGCCAAAACATACGAAAAAGTCTCTTGGAGCCATAACTCAAACCCAACAGGAAGTCGGATATTTTTAAACTTCCTGCGGCAAATAAGTGGCATTTTTGCCATTTCCAGGCTTTGTATCTTAACGAACTCCTCCAAGGGATTTTATGCTATCGACACCAAAATTGGGTTTTGTCATCTAAAGGCCTTGGCGATGTTAAATTGCGAAGCTTTAGAGGTTTTGTCGATGGGCGTGTCCGTGGCGGCCTCACGAACTTTAACGATTCGCCACAAAACCGGAAGTCATTATAACTCAGGCATGCATTATCCGATCTGCCTCAAAATTCAAATGTTTAATAAGAGTCCAGACCAGAACAAGTTTACATGCCGATATCCAGATACAGTTATAGCGCCACCTGCTGACCACAGAAAATGTCATGATTTACAAAGTAATAAAGTCATCCCACAAATGTTTTCATATCAGCACCAAATTTGGTTGGTTGTGTATCTGAAAGCTCAAGCGATGATATATTGTGAAGATCTAGAGTTTTCGGAGAGGGGCGTGTATGTGGTGGCATGACAAACCTCAACGCTTCGCCATGAAAAAGGAAGTCCTTATAACTCAACCACACAATGTCTGATCTGCCTGAAACTTCACAGGGTTGATAAAAGTCCTCTCCTGGAGACATCTACATGACAATACTGTCACAGTCATAGCGCCACCTGCTGATAGGAGGAAGTTTGGCATAAATCTGTGGATTTCTCAGGTTTTTTATATATATCGGCTTAAATTGTTATTGTTCACTGTTCTCTGTCATCCTGAGGCCACCGGGCGGCGGTGAGCCCGGGTGCGAGGTCCCTATCATCGCTGCTTGCAGCTTTAATTATTATTATTCTTCTCTCCAATGAATCGCGATTTAGAGGGGCTAAACATGCCCGAAAACTCACGCAACTTTGCACACGCCTCAGAAGTGGCGAAAATTTACGTTTGTTAAGGGCTTCGGAAGTGGGCGTGGCAAAATGACTCGACAGCGCCACCTAGAAAAATTAAACGGACGAGCCCCCGATCCACGAATCACGCACATGCACGAAAATTGGCACACACCTCAAACATGCCAAAACATACGAAAAAGTCTCTTGGAGCCATATCTCAAACCCAACAGGAAGTCGGATATTTTTAACTTCCTGCAGCGAAAAAGTGCAGATTTTGCCATTTCCAGGCGTTGTATTTTAACGAACTCCTCCTAGGGATTTTATCCGATCGACACCAGACTTAGGTTTTGTCATCTAAAGGCCTTGGCGATGTTAAATTGCGAAGCTTTAGAGTTTTCGTCGATGGGCGTGTCCGTGGCGGCCTCGCAAACTTTGACGATTCGCCACAAAACAGGAAGTCTTTATAACTCAGACAAGCATTATCCGATCTGCTTCAAATTTCACACGTTTGATAAGAGTCCTGACCTGAACACGTTTACATGCCGATATCCAGATATAGTTATAGCGCCACCTGCTGGCCACAGGAAATGACATGTTTTACACTGTAACAAACTCCTCCCACAATTTTTTTTGTATCAGCACCAAATTTGAGTGGTGTCATCTGAAAGCTGTATTGGTGATATATTGTGAAGATGTAGAGTTTTCGCAGAGGGGCGTGTCCGTAACGGCATTACAAACCTCAACGCTTCGCCATGGAACAGGAAGTCCTCATAACTCAACCACACAAAGTCCGATCAGCCTGAAACTTCATATGGTTGATAAAAGTCCTCCCCTGAATACATCCACATAACAATATTGAAGTGGGCGTGGCAAAATGACTCGACAGCGCCACCTAGAAAAATTAAATGGACGAGCCCTTGATCTACGAATCACGCACATGCACGAAAATTGGCACACACCTCAAACATGGCAAAACATACGAAAAAGTCTCTTGGAGCCATATCTCAAACCCAACAGGAAGTCGGATATTTTTAACTTCCTGCTGCAAATAAGTGGCATTTTTGCCATTTCCAGGCTTTGTATCTTAACAAACTCTTCCTAGGGATTTTATCCTATGGACACCAAAATTGGGTTTTGTCATCTAAAGGCCTTGGCGATGTTAAATTGCGAAGCTTTATAGTTTTTGTCGATGGGCGTGTCCATGGCGGCCCCGCAAACTTTGACGATTCGCCACAAAACCGGAAGTCTTTATAACTCAGGCATGCATTATCCGATCTGCCTCAAAATTCACATGTTTAATAAGAGTCCAGACCAGAACACGTTTACATGCCAATATCCAGATACAGTTATAGCGCCACCTGCTGGCCACAGGAAATGTCATGATTTACAGAGTAATAAACTTTTCCCACAAATTTTTTCATATCAGCACCAAATTTGGCTGGTTGTTATCTGAAAGCTCTAGTGATGATATATTGTGAAGATCTAGAGGTTTCGCAGAGGGGCGTGTCCGTGGCGGCATGACAAACCTCAACGCTTCGCCATGGAACAAGAAGTCCTTATAACTCAACCACACAATGTCCGATCTGCCTGAAACTTCACATGGTTGATAAGATTCCTCTATTGAAGGCATCTACATGCCAATCTTGAGTCACAGTTTTTGCGCCACCTGCTGACAGGAGGAAGTTTGGCATAAATGTGTGATTTTCTCAGGTTCTTTATATATATCGGCTTAAATTATTATTGTTCGCTGTTCTCTGTCATCCTGAGGCCACGGGGCGGCGGTGAGCCCGGGTGCGAGGTCCCTATCATCGCTGCTTGCAGCTTTAATTAATATTGTAATTTGTTATATATACTGTATTTTTTTTTTTATAAATGGGATGATAAATAAATAAATGATGGATAAATAAATTGGATGGATGATAAAATGGATGATGCCATTCATTCATTTTGGGTCTGTATTTTATTTTATTTTTTACATTAATTGAATGAAGTTTTATTCGGCAACGAATAATTAAAGTGATCAGAAATGAAACTGAATACATTTATAATGTTTTAATGATTAAAACTTCTAAAACTTAACAAAATGCATATATATATATATTGTGAACGTTTGAATTTATTATATTTATTTATCTATATTAATTTATTTGTCTTTAATTATTATCTATTTTTTAGCATCAAATCAGCTTTTCAGAATGTTTTTTTAACAGAATTAAATTCCCTCTGTTGTAATATTGTATAATATATATATATTATACATTATTAATGGGCAAAGATTAATTACGACTAATCGCATCTAAAATAAAAGTTAGTTTAGACATAATGGGCCCTATCATACATTGGGTGCAAAAAGGCATAAGACCAGTTTGGCGCGATTTGTTGCTATTTTCAGACCAACGCAGCCTTAATATTCCCGTTCTGTTAAAGGGAATGTGAGATGAGAACTCTGATAGTTTTAACGCATGTTATGCTCAAAACACACCCATAACTCATTAAGAGAATAAGCACAACCCTGTTAGACCATGCACCACAGCAAAAACTGTATTTTTCCATCCTTAAAATAGCAAAAGTGGATTCAAACACACCCTTAATGCTTTTGCGCCATGCGCTTTAGACTTTGCACCTAGATCGTTAAAATAGAGCTCAATGTATATGTTGTGTATTATATATATTTATTATGTATATGTATATAAACACATATACATAAAAACACAATTTTACAAAATATTTTTTTACATAGATATTTAAATTGATATATTTTGTATTATATACATCTATAATATTTAATAAATACAGTATTTAATAAATATACACAGTATACACACATATTTTAGGTCAAAACAAACTTTTGTTTTGGATGCGATTAATCGCCATTAAGTTTTGCCCAGCACTAATTATTAAAAATTTTATACTATAAACATGTTATATCAATCTGGAATAAAAACTAACTGCATTTTGAAACGTCTTGATCAAATAAGAGCAGTCTTAGTGTGCATTAGAGTCTTGCCAGAAAAAAACTTTTAAACAGTTTTTCAACAAAATCTATGTATATTAACACTATAACTAAATCTGTTATTTAACAGTTTCAGGGTGTTTTTCGTTTTTACTTTTGTTGCATTATGGGTCCTTCTATGAAACATATATTGTTTCAAACTACTAAAATGTCGATAAAAGTCACTTTAATAAACGTCAGTGAAACTTTCAGCATTAAAAGTTGATGGAGCAGAGATTCCATGATGCAAATCAAAAGCATAAATAACTGGAAAACAGCCATGCATCTACAAATAGCTGCAACTGTTAATCAACACATTTTTTCTCCTTTTAATAACTTGAAGCAAAAAGCAAAACCAACTCTATGATGCATCGTCTCTAACCATAAATCTCCATCAAGAGCCCTTCACCAACATTCTTTACATGCGCTTTTCATATACAAGGTTATCTTTGATCTTTTGTCTCCCAGAACTCATTTCTGAAAGCTCAGTGTGTTCAAGAGGGCCTAACTGTACCTGAGAGAAATGGAGGTCCCGTTGACAGACTCGGAGCACTGTCTGCTTGGGCTAAAGCCCCCCTGCCGGGCATAACGCTCATCTCCACAGCACAGGATCATGAGGAAGGCTCTGCGAAAAGCCCGGTTCAGAAAAGCATACAGGAACGGATTCAAGCCCGAGTTGATGTAACCCAACCAGAGCCAAGCGGTCCACATCTGCCAGGGCACGCTGTAGTTGATGAAAGGATCCACCACGTTGGTGACAAAGAAGGGAGCCCAGCACAGGCAGAAGCAGCCCATGATCACAGCCAGAGTCTTAGCTGCTTTGGTCTCATTCTTGATGCGACTGGAACCGTGCTGGTCATTGTTGGGGTAAGTGGAAGTAGGAGCCGAACCAGCCCGATGGAGAGAGCCGATTCGCCGAGCGTGTCCCATGGCGGTTACATAGATCCGCTGATAGGCCAGAACCATTAAAACTAGAGGCACATAGAAAGCCACAGCTGAACACACCAGAGCATATGGCTGGTTCACCATGAATACACAGGTGGAGTTACGAGATGAGTTCAGTTTTCTTTGTTCGATCTGTAAAATTCAAAGTGCACAAAAATGATTAATATTGCATTCTACACCAAAAACGGATAATCAACTTAATATTTATATCAATGGTTGATATTACAGTTCTACATTATTTTGTAAATAAAATGCTACCGTATAATCAAAACTTTTAATGCTAATTAGGGCATTAAGAGATTACAACTTGCAGTATGTTGGGATCTGTTGAATTAAACAATAGATTAGATGATGTAAAAGGTCATCTACATACTCTGTAAAAAGTGATTAGCTGACTTAAAAACATTGCATTACTTAAGAACAAGATGAGTAAACACATTGCTTTAAAATTATAAGATAAATGAACTATGTGCAATAAAATTAAGTTGGACAGTTAAGTCAACTTTAGAGTTGTAAGTTACAATGAGTTTATTTACTTGAAGTAAAACACTTATCACTTTTTACAGTATATCAAGATAATAGAAAAAACATGCTATTTATTACATTGTAATGTCACTATTAAGAAAATAAACAGATTTATTAATAATGTTTGGACGTAAACCATGGCATTAACTCATTCCAATAATTTATTCACATATTTATTGTGCATGTAAACATACTCAAACAATTCAGGAAAGTGGTCAAAAATGGATAAAAGAAACAGATTAAATCACCATGAATTAATGAAAAAAGTGTCCTGCATCTTCCTGTGATTTAACATCAAGTGCAAAAAACATGCAAACTATTTTTAATTGCTAAAATCTTAAAAAATAAAAATAAAAATAATTCTTCCTAATATTGCTTAAAACTGGCAAAAACTGCATTTAGACCATTTTACATCATAAATAAATCATTCAATTTTTTTGAAAACATCTACACAAATCAAAATTTGTCAGTTGCATGTGAGGCTAGAGTGTGGTGACAGAGAAAGCTTAACGTGCTGCAATAAAAAAAAAAAAACACGCATGCAATTACCTAAAACACCAGCAAATTACGAAAAGATCTTCATCGAATTGACAGTACATGTGCTGCAAATCCTCACAATGCACAGACATAAATAAAAAAAGCGCTGCATTTTCTCACAATGCAAACAATTTACGAAAACGAAACGAATAACCGTGACCTAAATAACTGAATCTGTCATGTTTTAGGTCCCCTTAAAACATTTCCATTGTGTTCCGAGCTATTTGAAAGAGCATCATGTTTTATTAATTTGTTTGAGCTTTGTGAAAATACAGCGCATTTTTAAAAAATGTGTTTGCGTTGTGAGGATTTGCAGCACGTGTACTGTCAAACAGTGAAGATCTTTTTTCAATTTGATGGTCTTTTCTGTAATTGCACTTGTTTTCTTAAATTGAAGCACCTTAAGTCTCTCAGCCACCGTACAAGAGAGATTTCTTTTCAAAAACACTTTTTTATTGTAGCCAAGTTAAACATTTAGTTAATTACTAAAGCTTTAAAAAATTACAAAAGCAAAACAACAATAACCACTTACAAAGCTCTCGATTCCAATGGTATTCCAGCTCTGCATGATGGGAAGGAAAGAGATGAAAAACGGGATGACCCAACATCCGACCAGCATCAGCGAGACTCTCACAGGTGTCATCTTGTTATTATACACCAGAGGCTGACAGCAAATCGCATAGTACCTGGCCAAGACATGAAGAGAGAACATTTCAAGATTGATTAATGACTGTGTCAGGCAATACGGTGCATTTGTAATCAATGCGTCCCTGCGTACTATGCTCTGATATACCCTGATGATTCGGCAGATTTTTGTTTATAGTGATGTGAGTTATGTACAACCAGAAAGTATGCGATCGTATGCGAGGCCAAAGACATAATGAGTCATGAGGAATCATACAAACTTGGTTGCACAGTGGATGGATTAGAAGAGAGAGAAAGTGAGAGATAGAGAGACAAAAAATTAGTCATGTTATTGCCATATTGGACCAGGTGCAGCACGTAAATCACAGCTGCTCTCTGTCAGGCTAAGAGAGCTGCGGTCGTCCTAATGGGTGAGCATGAGAAAATTTGCATATGTAATGCAGCAAATTACACATAATTAGCTGACAACCTGACAAGCTCCTGGAGTTAGTGTCAAGGCATAAACTATGTGTTTCTTTTTTTGCATGTGTGTGCACGTGCGTTTTTGAATGTACAGTTCACTCTGTGATTGAGTCCTATATGTAAAACATCTGTCTAATCAAAGAATTTAATAAGCAGACGAAATATAAATTTAACCTATCAATACAGGCCAGATATTAGCGATTTTCATCTATTAATAAGTCTGAATGTTGTTTTAAAAAAATAATAATAATAAAAATTAAGGGCGGCACTGTAGCCTCACACCAAGAAGGTCGCTGGTTTGAGTCCCGGCTAGGTCAGTTGGCATTTCTGTGTGGGGCTTGCATGTTTTCATGTTCGCATAGGTTTCCTCTGGGTGCTCCGGTATCCCCCACAGTCCAAAGACATGCGCTATAAGTGAATTGGGGATTATCCCCACTTTTATTTATTCTGTACTCAAACATGTGTCAGAGCACATTTCAAATTCATTTTATTTAGAAATATGCAGACGACACTATGATTGTAAGCCTCCTTCAAGGAGATGAAAATAGTCCCATAGTGGATCATTTTGTTCAGTGGTGTGAGAAGTCAAATCTAAAACTTAATGTAAAAAACTAAGGACATGATTATTGATTTAAGAAGGAATCACACAACAGCTGAGGTGACTTATATCAGTGGTCAAAAAGCAGAATGCGTGGAGAACTACAAATATTTGGGTACCATTACAGACTTTTTTTTTTAACTTTGAGGCAAACAGTGATGCTGTGTGCAAGAGCATCAGCGCCTTTGTCTCAGGAAACTATTATGTCTCAGGAAACTATTTGTCTCAGGAAACTATTTACATTGGTCCCAATTTACTTAATTTTTTTTATTGTGCTTTTATTGAGTTTATTCTATCCTTTGCTCTGGTGGCATGGTTTGGAAGTATGTCCCTTAAAAACAGGAATAGACTGAGCCAGGTTATTAGGTGGTTTAGCAGGTTAATTGGTGAATCCCTGTATGGTAGGCAGGTTTTACGGACTGCCCAGAACATTATTAGCTCTAGCTCTTGTTCTATGTCTGAGGAGTTCGGGTCGAAGGCTTTTTAGTAAGACAAAACGTTACAGGAATAGCTTTGTCCCATCATCTATTGTCGCTCTGAATAAATTGCAATATTTTACAATGCACTTTTGTATGTGTATATGTGGGTATGTACAGTGCATCTGCAAAGTATTCATAGCACTTTTTATAATTTTTTGTTTTTATGTTACAGTCCTATTCCAAAATGGATTCAATTCATTAATTTCCCAAAAAATCTACACACAATACCCCATGACGTCAATGTAAAAAAGATTTTTTGAAATTGTTGTAAATTTATTAAAAACAAAAAACCTGAAAAATCACATGTACATAAGTATTCACAGCCTTTGTCATGATGAAAGGATCCTCAGAAGGCTGAGGAAGGTTACAGAAAAATTTCTGCTGCTCTGAAAGTTACAACGAGCACAGTGGCCTCTATCATTTGTAAGTGGAAGATGATTGGAACCACCAAGACTTTTCCTAGAGCTGGCCGGCCAGCTGATCGGTGATCGGTGAATGTGATTTTTCATATTTTTTTATTTTTAATATATTTGCAACAATTTCAAAAAACTTTTTTTTACATTGTCATTATAGGGTATTATGTGTAGAATTTTGAGGGTATAAATAAATTTGATCCATTTTGGAATAAGGCTGTAACATGAAAAAATGTGAAAAAAGTGAAGCGCTAGGAATACTTTCTGGATTTACTGTATATGTGGAAAATGTATCATTCATTTTCTTGTCAGCTTAGTCCCTTTATTAATCTGGGGTCACCACAGTGGAATGAACCGCCAACTTATCCAGCAAGATTTTACGCAGCGGATGCCCTTCCAGCTGCAACCCATCTCTGGGAAACATCCACACACACATTCACACACTTATACACTACAGACAATTTAGCCTACCCAATTCACCTGTACCACATGTCTTTGGACTGTGGGGGAAATTGGAGCACCCGGAGGAAACCCACGCGAAGGCAGGAAGAACATGCAAACTCCACACAGAAACACCAACTGAGCCAAGGTTCGAACCAGCGACCTTCTTGCTGTGAGGCGACACCACTATCTACTGCGCCACTGCCTCGCCCAAATGCCAAACTATGCTGCAAAAAGAATTAACCTAAGGGTACAAATTAAGTCAACTCAACTCAACTTGGATTAAGTAAACTGGCCATAGTGTATGAGTGTGCGAGTGAATGAAAGTTTATGGGTGTTTCCCAGAACTGGGTTGCAGCTGGAAGGGCATTCATTGTGTAAAACATATGCTGGAATAGTTGGCGGTTCATTCCATTGTGACGACTCCTGATAAATAACCTAGTTAGCAAAGAAGGCTTTAATCCGGCACTGGCATGCAGCATGTGGGCCAAACATGACCCTGGTTGGGCACCATCTATAAGGCGGCACACAATACTTGGGTCAGATGTAAATTGCAGTATTTGGCCTAGATGTTAATAACTGATATGTGGGCCATGTAAGTTTGGCCTATCTTGACCCACATTAAAAATACATTTATATTATCTTCAATTAAAGAAATAAAATCTACCAATGAGGTCACTTTGAGAAAAAGCAAACCCATAGCACGTCTAAAGTGCAATGATTCATGGGTTTATCATTTTCATTGCAGTCGTGAGACTCCAACATATCTGGCCCAGTTTAGGCTCAATTATGGGTTATTAACTTGGCTGAGACTTGGCCCAGATATGGTCCATGTTTGGACCTTGTCTGGAAGCCAGACTTGGTCCAGTCATGTACTGTAATTTACTGTGGCATGTGGGCCAAGCAAAATCTGATTGTATGGGCCAGAGCTGGGCCAGAGATATTTTGCTATGTGGAAAGGGTCTAAGCTGACTGAATAAATAAATGAATGAATGAAAATGATAACAGACATTTATTCTTGTCGGGGTCGCCACAGCAGAATGAACCGCCAACTTATCCAGCAAGTTTTTACGCAGCGGATGCCCTTCCAGCCGCAATCATCTCTGGGAAACATTCACACACACACACTCATACACTACAGACAATTTAACCTACCCAATTCACCTGTACCGCATGTCTTTGGACTGTGGGGGAAACCGGAGCACCCGGAGGAAACCCACGAGAACGCAGGGAGAAAATGCAAACTCCACACAGAAACGCTAACTGAGCCGAGGCTCGAACCAGCAACCAAGCGACCTTCTTGCTGTGAGGCAACAGCACTACCTACTGCGCCACTGCTTCGCTCAATAACAGACATAGAAAAGCAAAATTATTAGCCCTTCTGTATTATTTAAATTCTTTGTCAAATAAATAACAGAGCAAGGGCATTTTTTAAGTATTTCCTACAATATATATTTTTTTCTTCAGGAGAGAGGCTCAGTTCTTTTAGTTTGGCTGGAAATTTTATAAATATATTTTAAGGTCATTATTATTAGCTCCTTTGCAATATATATATATAATTTTCAATTGTCTCCAGAACAAATTACTCACCTTGATCTTTTTTAGAAAGAAAAAAATGAAACATCCAATCAAGCAAATAGAACTCCTGTCCCGAAACCATTAAACGCAAGATAACATGCTCTAATTTAAGCCTTCTTTTCTCAATATTGCCATGGCAACACAAGCAGTTATTTGTGTAGGGCAACATTAGTCATGTTTTGTTTCTATACTGGCTTCATGAATGCCCTCACCTGTCCAGAGCAATGCAGCACAGATGCAGAATGGACGCAGTGGTCAGCAGCACATCCAGTGAGGTTCGCACCAGGCAGAACGTCTCTCCATAATTCCACTTCCCTGTGGTTAACTCTATGGCTGCCAGTGGCATCACAACCAGGGCAACTAGAAGGTCTGCAAATGCCAGCGATACAATGAAGAAGTTGGTCTTCTTCTTCCTATATTTGGAACAGTAAATAAACCAAACAATCATTAATACCTGTATAAACAGCTGGAGTCAAAATTATTAGCCTGATTTTTTCTTTATCAAATATTTCCCAAACGATGTTTTACAGATCAAGGAATTTTTCACAGTATTTCCTATAATATTTTTTTCTCCTGGAGAAAGTCTAACTTGTTTTATTTCAGCAACAATAAAGCAGCTTAAATATATATATTTTTTACTATTTTAATTAAAAAAATGTTTTAGTTAATTTTAAGTTAATATTTTTTCATAGTCTACATAACAAACCATCACTATACAATGATTTACCTAATTAACCTAGCCTGTAATTAGCCTAATTAACCTAGTTTAGCCTTTAAATTGCAGACTTTAAATTGTGTTCATAAACAAAAATAGTGTTTGTATGTAAAAAATACCAACATTGAAGCTATTTCATGACAATTAATGGTGTTAAAAATGTTTTTAATTTAAATGTAATGATATAAGTGAAAGAGCTTTTTTTCTTCTAACCAATGCAATCAATCTTTCTATATTTTCTGAAAGATTTTTGAGAAATGTCTTAAACTTAATCAATACATGCAACAAAAAAAAAAAATAAAATCGTGTATATATAAAGATTATGGAAAAAAATTATTTATAATTAAAACATGAAACTAGTAGTTGGTGAATCTTCTAAAGAGTGAGTCACAGAATCATTAACTCAAAGCAGTAGATTCATTCAATAATGAAACTCCGCTGTGTTGCTTGGAAACACACAACAGTTCTGCTATGGATTTGTTTGGAACTGTATTTGCTGCCGAATATTAATGTATTTTTTAATGAACAACAATATCATGCTATAATGTTCTTTTGAAAAAGGACTGGGAGCACAATCTTATTTTAATTTAAAGTGAAAGACACCAAAATTGCACAATTTGGATCAAAGCCCAAAAGAGGTAGTTTCAAAGAGTTGTAAAAAATAAAATGTGTGGGATATTTTGAGCTTAAATTTCACTTTTACACTAGGGGCATCCGAACTGAGATTACATCTTGTAAAAAAAGACGTAATAGGTTCCCTTTAAATACTTTTTGCAAAAAATAAACTAGCACTTTTATTTATTATCTGTTGTGAGACAGTTTCACATTAATTTAATTAATGATAACAACACTATTTATTTAGAAAAAAAGCATTGATTAAATTTATCAAACAAATTTTTAAAGTTCAATACTTAATCTCAACAAGTATGTATATCTGGCAACACATCACAAAAACACTTAAAAAATAAAGAGCCTTTAATAGAAATTATATTTTCTTCTAACATCTTTACATTTTAAGGAGCATTTTTAGCTTAGAAGCCAATCGTCCAATTACATTTGGACCCTAACAAGTGGGAGGCACATGTGCAAACTAATCTAATTCCTACACCATTCACTAGATTTGGATGTAAATACCTTTAAATTAAAGCTGACAGTCTGCAGTTAAAGCACTTGTTGTTTGTTTCATATCAAATCGATTGTGTTGGTGTATAAAACCAAAAATGTTAGAATTGTGTTGATGTCCAAATATTTATGGACCTAACTGTGTATGTAATTTGAAAATGTACACTGACAAAGCAAATTTAAAGATAATGTATACTGCATAAAAAGCATCATTACCTTAGCTGTCTGTCTTTACAGAGTGCCACCATCACAAGCAAATTACCAAGTGCGGTCATTATAATGATGGTCACCAGGACAATAGACAGCGTTATCCTCGAAGTGTGTTTAGACACAACTTCATCGACTGAACTGTTGACAAAAAAAAAAGATGCAGATTATGAAATATCATATTCATATCATATAAAACATCGACTTATTGATGTAAATATCTAGGCTCTTACTCTTCCGCTGAGTCTGATGCTGTGGCCATGACTGGTCATCTGTATACAAGTGGTCAGCGAGAGATTGGTTCACACAAGACACTGCAGTCCCTCTCCTGTGGGACAAACACAAGTATTTTAGGTTCTCACATCCTGAGCTCAATCATACTCTGTCAGGAGAAGTGCTAAAGTGAGAGCAGTGGGACTAAACCATCAGCACATTTAGAAATGAAACACAGGCTTCTGGGATATAAAATGCAAAAATGAGCCATGATAAGTTTCTGACCTCCTTTTGTTCCTGTTTTCCAATGAAGCTGAAGTTCTTAAGTATTAACCATTGCATGCTATTAAGCATCTTGGGGGCTAAACCACGAATTTGAGGTTTGCTTTGTTAAGTCTTTACAACAGTATTTAGGAAATAAAAGTAGTATGTTCCATTGTGAACTACGTGCAATGCAGTATGTTTTAAAATAAATGCAGTACAATATATAGCTTCAACATCTATTTTGCAATGTGCAAATCTGCGATAATCACATTCAACAAACATTGCACCATACACTTTTACCCATACTGTGTGTGCCTTGCCCTGTTGGTAGTTCTTGTAAGCTGTGCATTATATATTAGGGTAGTTTGAGTTTGATTTTGATTTCTTTTTGTAATTTGGGCCCTTTGGGCTCTGTGTTTGAATCTTTGCCTCATCTCTCTGCCAAATATGCTGACAAATTAAACATTATTTTAAAAAGTTATGAATGATAACAGACTGTACACATCTCCAAAAATAAAATGTTTAATGGCTGTAGAACTTGCAGTATCACTGTAGTCATGATAATACAGTCTCTAGATAAATGATTGTAAACAGGATTTCATGTTTCATGAGATACAGCGTTAGAAATATGGATTTTATAACCAATGGTATTTAATGATTTATAGCATCACTGTAGTCATAGTCAAAACAGCCTCTAAATAGATTCAATCAAATATATTTTTTTAAACAATTAATTTTACTTAAAAATAGTGATGCATCAGATTAAATTATTAAATTCTAACATTTTTGGCTTTAAACACCAACACAATGGATTTGAAATGAAACGAACAAGATGTGCTCTAACTGCAGACTGTTAGCTTTAATTTGAAGGTATTTACATCCAAATCAGTTGAAAGCTGTAGGAATTACAAGTTTGTGAATGTGCCTCCCACGTGTTAAGGGTCCAAAAATAACTGCACAGAATAATAATTATAAATCAAACTTTCACTTTTTAATACTTGGTTTTAAATCTTTTGCAGTCAATTGCAGCCTGAATTCTGGAGCGCATAGACATCACAAAACACAGGGTTTTATTCCTGGTGGTGCCCTGCCAAGCCTCTACAGCAACTGTCTTCAGCTCCCGCTTGTTCTTGGGGCGACTTGCCTTCGGTTTTGTCTTCAGCAAGTTCAATCGGATTCAGTTCAGGCGATTGACTTGGCCAATGCAAAATCATTTTAGTTATTTGTGTTAGTGTATAGAGACAAAATGTTAGAATTATGTTGATGTCCAAATATTTATGGACCTGACTGTAGGTCACGACGTCAGGTGACCAAAATTCAATGTCTAGCCAGCATCTAAGAACAACATTATTTTGATGTCCAAAAATGACGTCAAATGGTGTTGATATTTGGTTGTTTTTAGGTTCTGTTGAGAAGTGACCAAAATCCAACATCAAGCCAACATTTTAAACCAACATCATATTGATGACAAATACTGCCATTTATTCCTCAGGTATGGCAACCAAAGTCTGATGAATGTTATAGTGGTAACGTCCACACAATGTCAAGCTGTAACATCAATAGATGTTGATTTTTGGTTGATTTTAGTTTGGACATTGGACATTGACATTGGCCTAATGTTAGGTTCTTACGTCAACCCAATTTAATTTCCAAATAAAATGCTAGGTCCCCAGGATGTTAGGGTACAACATCAATCTGATGTCATATTGAAGTTCTGTGCCTGCTGGGAAGAGATTAAATATAAACAGATAACATTTTCAATTTCAGTTTCTGATAACTTTTGTGAAAATAAAATGACAAAATTTATGTGAAAAAAATTTTGCAGCTCTAAAATTCATGAATGTAAATATATTATTATATGCATATCTATTTTACCGAATGACGTTCCACACACTTTACACAACTTCTTTTTTTTTTTTGCTGCTGACTAACATATTTCAGGTTTGCCACCAATAAAGTGGCACTTCAGTCTAACTGATGGCGCTGTGGGAGTAAATAAACCCGAAATCTTTGGAAAAACTGGCCTAAATTGAAATCATATATCATAGTCTACTCTCAAACGCATCAAATATTGAAGGTAAGATATTGGAGATAGGAAAATTTCAGCACACAGCGCATGCACTTCATCACACTGTTAATGCCCACAGAGGCCAAATCGCACCCTGTGCCTGTGGGGCTTGAGCCATAACTCACGCAGAAGTGGAGAGAGCAAACACTGGAAGCGTGTGATGTATTTGCCCAGCTGGGAGGCTCAAGTGGGTTTTAGAGAGACAGCTCGGACGCTTTCTCACTGTTCTGGTGCTTTCCTTCGAGTTTCAAATGAGCCACATGATTATTATAGCCCTGAATCAAACACAATGAACAAAACTGGCTATTCTAAACCCACCAGACAGCTGATTTACACGTGATTCTTGTTTTTGAAGGAGAAGATCATGTAAAAGGCTCATTTGTGTCACTTGCGTGCATATGTGTAAAGAAAATAACATATTTGACAATTAAAATCTTAAAGCTATATAAATACTGCAATTTACAAAAAGGGAGAAGATGATGATGGAAAAGAATGAAATAAGAAGAAAATTTATGCTTTTGTGTTCCCTTGAGAAACCGTGCACTAGCTTGGCGAATGTTTACAAAGTTTCTCCAGGGAAGGATTTGCAAGGCAATGCAACAGCATTGGAATTATGGGTGTGCTATTTATCTTCCATAATAATATGGTAATTGACATTTTAATGATGTACGCGCTGACATTATCCAGTATGTCACTTACTAAGAAAAAAACAAACAAAAAACAAACATAAAAACTGACTGTATGGAGAAGCCTAGTAGAATGTAGCTAGAACAACCCTATATTCAAGTTATGAAGGAAAAATGATCCCTGTAGGAGTTCTTATTTTTTACATGTATAAAATCTAATAGTTACAAATTTCCCATGAATCATTTTCCCATGACCACGATTGCTAATGTAATATTGATTTTATACACTTTTTTAAATGAACCATTTGTCAACAAAGCCAGAGCAGAACATTTCTGCATCTTAGAACAGCACTTTTGTGTTTCGGCCCTGGATAAATCTGTTTTTGAGCAAATCAGCTGATGATTAATTATTCTATTTATGCAGATAGTCTCTTGCATCAGTTCAAAATGAATCAGCTGCTTTGAAAGAATAGCTTTAATAAATGATTTAATGAATCACTCATTAAGACAGACACTTGTCACAATCTGTTTGCCAGATTTAGTGTCAAATTAATTATCCAAGACACAAAAACACTCACATTATTGTTTATAAAATATGCACACATTTGCACCTAGAGTCCATTATGTTCCCTTATGCCGAGTTCAGTTTGCATGATTTTTTTAAAAGAAGTTGTGTCATGGATGCTTTCACACTGCATGACTATCTGGGGAAGCGTTCCATTGGTGCTGTGTTTACACTGCAAGATGGATCGGCGACGGGTGGTTCACACTGCATGACTTTAAAATTGGAAGAATCATCCACAACTTTGTCAAAAATATGTCTGACAACCAAAAAACGTGAGAAGTGACATGGAAACAACATGAAGTCACGTAGTACAACTTTTGTTATTAACTACATGATGAGACACAAGACTTTAGTAAGGTAGAAAATGTACTTATTTTGCTCACCTGGCTTTTTACCTGGCAATTTCTCCTCATCTTTTTTCTTTTTTGACCTGATTGTGGTATTGCTCAGATGACACGTCAAACAGACCAAACATGCCAAATTCACACTAGTTTTTCACAGCATTCTTGGGTCCAAATAAACTGAAAACGAGTGCTTTTAACTTCTCCCCAAACTTCCACTGGCCTGCAAATACCAATACTAGGGGATGCTGCTCTCTCATTGACTGTAGGTAATTGCCAATGTTACTTTCAATCAGAACACATTTCACATTGTATTATTCGCCGACAGGTCCAGATATTTAGCATGCCAAATATCTCACGAACGTCGGCGACTCACTGGCAATTCTCTCAGATCGCATCTTTAGCAGTTTACACTGTAATTGTTACTCACATAAACAAGCACCGATTTGCCTGTGATTTCAGGCATTTGTCTGTGATTTCCAAAACTTGTCGGCGAGTCAAAATCTGGGCTAAAATCATGCAGTCTTAACTCGGCATTACAGATGCATATTAATTCCTTAACAATACAGAAGTATTTATTCATTAATTTTTTTTCGGCTTAGTCCCTTTATTAATCTGGGGTCGCCACACCGGAAAGAACCGCCAACTTATCCAGCACATTTTTTATGCAGCGGATGCCCTTCCAGCCACAATCCATCATAATAAGGCCCTTTTGATGTATCAATATGTGCACTGTAAAAATATCTGTTAATAAACAGTTTCCATACTTTGGGTTTTATTCATTTCATATTCAATAATTAAAATTTTTTAACAAAATACTGAGATATCTTTTCCTCTCCTTAGGGGCTCCGGATAAATTCTTTGAAATTATTAAAAAAATTCCACTTCCTTTAATTTTTTGATGACAACTTTGTTTAAAACCAATTATTGAATAAACATTTAGCATTTTATCTTCATGCTCGCTTAATTTTTCTCTTTCATTTTTCTCTTAATTTACTTTTAAAGTATACTAAAACTATTAATTGTAGCACTTGCACTTAGCAAAGTGCAAGTTTGTGTCAGAAGGGAATAAATGCTTAACATATATTATGTAAGCATGATAACTGACTATTAATAAATAAATAAATAAATTAATTCAAAAGAAACTATATATATAAACATTTCTTTTTTAAGCAGCAATTCCTCTTTTAAGATGCAACACTCTTTTTCACAACCTTGAGCAGACAATTATTATTTTATTATTCCCCTAAATTCTTTGCAATTAACTGACACATAACTTATCAGACAGAATTTTTATAATCATAAGACATTAAAGCAGGAAAGCTACTGTTTCATCAAATGACCCAAAAAAGATGAGCTGAGGTATGAAAGCTGATGCCATGTGACACAACACTAACTTTCACTAATCTTGTCTCATAAGATCTAAGAACTCAGAACCCCCATCAGCTCAAGGGGCTTCAAACATGGTTAACTGTCTAAAGAATACAGATCTGACCTGATAAAGAACGTGGGACTTCTGGAATCCAGATCATCTTGTCTTATTTTTGTTTGTTTGTTGTTTTATTTATGAAAGCATTAAAGAAACGGTTTAGTGCACATATAACTGTACTTCATTAATCATAATACCACTGTAATAATGATATAATAATAATAATAATAATAATAATAATAATAGTAATAATAATAAAAACTGTTTTTTAAAGCAGTAACTATAATAATAAACCACACCCAAAATGATATTATGCAAATAGAATGCTTAAATTTTCGTAACAATAAATAATAATATAGAAATGCTGCTCTAAATAACATATTTCAAACATATTTCAAAGATTTTGGTTACAATAAGTGACTACTGTCTTCAGAAAGATGCAGAAAGTTACTACTGTTTCCAAGTTACTCTTACTGTAAGCTACTTTCTTAATTGATCAAATTTTATTGTTTTCTCTTACACAAAGCATAACAGGTTAACATGACATAACTGACATGATGAAAAGAATATGTGCTGCTGACAAACCATCCAGTAAGCAGTTTTGACACCTTCCCACTCAACTTCTTTTTTCATTTCATGCCACCAGGAAAACTGAGTGGCATTTGCATTTAAAGGGATAAATCACAATCTGCAGTGACAGGAAAACATAAGCCATCATCCTCATAAACAAGCAACGACTGACATTTTCACACAGGCATAAAACCCATAAAAAATATAGCGGTCAGAAGCCCCTCAAGCATGTCTGTGTAATTAAACAACATTAATTTCCAAAATGGGATATGATCATCAAGAAATGCAGTAAACTATTGTATTTTTATGAACTACAGTATTACAGATAATACACATTAATTGAAAATGAACAATACATGTGAATTACATATTTTTTTTAAATTGTTTTAATCTTGGAGTCCTTTATTAAAATAAAGTATAAAAATCACACCCTTGACGTTTATTGAATGGAATTTATTAACAAAATCATAATTATTTCAACCATAGAACTTTAAGGCTGATTGTTTGCTGATAAATACCTGCAAAATATTATTGATAAGCAAATAAACTGGTATGGGGAAAAACGTAAATTGCCAAACTTGGCATCTCACTGGTAATTCTACTTAATGCTATTTAAGAATAACATTTAAGAATAACAAACCAAAAATCTTATAAATCTTTTAAAATAAATGAAAGCAACAGTTCGTTTCAATTATGAAACGTGTTTTAGGGTTTCTGTCTTGTTTGGAGTCCTTTTTTAAAATAAAGCATAAAAATCACACCCTTTACATTTATTATGTGGAATTTATGAACAAAAAATTATTATTATTTGAATGATAGAACTATGAGGGTGATTATTTTCAAATAAATACCATATGATTGATAAACAAATAAACTGGTATGACTAAATAAAATAAATGTAAATCGCCTAATTTGGCATCTCACTTTTAATTCTAGGCTACTTATTGTAATTTAGCAATAACAAACCGAAAATCTTATAAATCTTATAAAATACATGAAATCAATAACAACAATGAAAATAGCAATATTATTAAAATATTAAAATACATATCAGCTGTACTTTTAACCACCTGTTGCACATTTTGACACTTTATGGCAATTAAAGTACGAGGAAGCATTATAACTTTACTCACCCCGGGGCTCCGTGTTTCAGACGTCTTTGTGAATCCACACGTGTTTCTATGACCTGTCATATTCCATAACAATCTGTAGGAGACTGAAGTGCTCTTCTCTGCCCAGTGTCACAGTCCAACAGCTGCAGAAAGCAGCAGATCCTCTGTTGATGTAAAAGCATCGGCGTCCATCACGCGAGTCTGTAAAACACCTACGCAGAGAAACAGCGCCACCGAGAGTTTTACCTCTGTTCATTCAATATCAATTAAATGTAGCATTTCCTTTAAAGATGAACTATAGTATAAAGACTGGAAAGCTCACTGTGCAGGTTTATATAAGCAATAATGAAGTTTAAAGCAAGCTGTAAAGGTAGTGGGGTGATGAACGACTTGATTGCTTGCAACCTTTTCAGCTGTGACTGTATGTGTTTTGCTTGCTGTTGTAGCTCCGTCTATACTTCAGAACACTGGGTCTTCACTAACAAAAACACATGAATGGATCTCCTGCATGAGAAGACTTTCTTTGATGACATAGGAGTATTTTTACAGAACTAGTTCGGAATGATGTAAATGACAGAGGTTAAACAGAGATGTGCTTCATGTAACTTATAGCATATGTTACTTATGCATAGTTTTTTTTTTTAAATAGCTTGTCCAGTGCTGTATTTGTATATGATTAGTTTATGTAGCACTGTTATCCTGCAAGACACAACATGTATGTCCACACGCTGCAGAATGACAATAAAGCTCAACTTGACTTGTATTTTATGTAAAGTCAGATCCATTACAAATGTTTATTAAAAAGAGGGTGAAAAGAAATATGCACATTTCTATATATACAGTTGAAGTCAGAATTATTAGCCCCCCTTTGAATTTTTTTTTCTTTTAAAAATATTTTCCAAATGTTTATGTTTAACAGAGCAAGGACATTTTCACAGTATGATAATGTTTTTTCTTCTGGAGAAAGTCTTTTTTTATTACGGCTAGAGTAAAAGCAGTTTTTTACATTTTTAAAACCATTTTAGGAACAAAATTATTAGCTCCTTTAAGCTGTATATTTTTTGATAGTCTACGGAAAAACCATTGTTATACAATAACTTGCCTAATTACCCTAAACTGCCAAGTTAACCCAATTAAGCCTTTAAATGTCACTTTAAGCTGTATTGAAGTGTCTTGAAAAATATCTAGACTATTCTGACTTATGACTGTATATTTAAGTTATTAACAAACTTAAAATGAATTGAGCTGGATTGGTATTGAAGGTTGCTTAGCTGAATTTTAATGGCTTTAGACAAGTAATCACTGTTTTTATTTAGTTCTTTTGCAATTAAATGAGTTTTGTCAATTTTTTTATGTTTTGCACCTTGCAACTTTTGGCTCAAGTGCAAGAACTCATTTTGGAGACTTGGTTAGCATGGGTTTTTATTTTGAGGGCAAAGTTGGCACAGTTTCCCCTAAAACGATAGCAGCTTTTTTGCAGATGCCATGCCAGATACTTAAGATTGATGACCCTTCCTTTTTATTGGGACCCAACATGCACAGGTGGGGTCACAGACTCAGGCCTGTAGCAGACACAATGTGCTCAATGTTGACTACTCTTTTTATTCTCTCTGCACTGGCTTGTATTGAGTTTGAGATTGTGTTGAGTTCTGGTTTGTATATTGAGTTCCCCCTCTCCATCATCCACAAGCATTTCTTGCCAGGAGCTGTAGCAGCAGGAGCCTTAAGGGGATAGATCACCAAAAAATGACATTTCTGCCATCATTGACTCACCTTTGACTTGTTCCAAACCCTTTGGGATTTGTTTTAACACAAAACAATATATTTTAAAGAATGTTGAAAACCTGTAACCATTGACTTCCAAGTATTTTGTTTTTCCTATGGAATCCGTGGCTACAGGTTTCCAACATTCTTCAAAATATCTCCTTTATTCACATTGAACAAAACAACACAAACTGGTTTTGAACAAGTAAAGTTATTTTTATTTTCTAAACTTTCCCTTTAATTGTCCAATAATTGTATACATATGTGCTTATAAACTGTTAGTTTTGTATAAACGTATGGTTAGTAAATAATATACTGTATACTGCTTGCTTATTTACGAAGAATAACAAACATGAATGCCATTTCACAATTAGGAATTGAGAAAAATGTTTGTATGACATTGAGTTTTACTTTTACTGCACCACAAATATAAGCTAAAAGCTTTCCTTTTTAGTAGTGTGGTTTACTGCTAATATTTCATAGCTTAAGGTATTTTATCTTATAAACATAGTCTTATCACAATCATAAACTACGGGTCGTAGCACAAATAGTTTTTGCCGTTTACTTCACTTTTATTTTTCTAGAGTGGCCTGTGAATAGTATTGAAAGTCGACAACAGCTTACTTCCGTGATAGATTGTGTTAAAATGTTAACAAAAGAACGAAATGTCAACGGAAAGTTAAAGTAACCTACTGATTAAAACCAGAATAAGAATAACTGTCTGCTACTGTACAGAGACCTCGAAGTTTGAGTTCTCTTTCTACCACAAGATGGCAGAGCATCATTACCGAATGGCAAGAAAGCAACCATTTTCATAAGATGTTGACTAGCTTGATAAAATCATTATTTATTCTATGAACGATATACTTTATAGCTCATATTACATCAGCTCACGTGATCTTATATTTTGCCAAAAAAAAAAAAAAAAAACAAGCTTGTAATGAATATAAAACAGGACAAGGTTTTCAGATGTGGCAATGTGGTGATGTGTAAAATGTTCCAAATGTTTTTTATGCATTGTTAAATTCTCAATAAAAATATTAAATTACAAAAATGCATATAGGCCTAGCATATAAAATCCAATACAAAAACAACAGTAAACAAAGACTGACCTTAATTTACATTTATGCTGGTCAAAGAGTGTAGAGTTATAATTTGCTGAATGAAATACACCTAAAATGTTTCATCAAATGCGGTTAGATGATTATTAACTGTTTGTTGATATTTCTGACTGTCTGTTTTCCATAAGAGGAAGGCCATTTCTTTTATCATAATTCAGCTTAATAACAAGTGACAGAAGAGAGTGAAGCTGCACAATGCAACTTAATCTATTTCAATACAGGGATAGAAGACAAGGCTTTCGAGCATTTCTGTTTATTATGACTGACATGTGAAAGCAATGAATGGCTGATGAATATTAATAAGCACTGCTGCTGAATGAGTTGTAAAGTGAGTGCACAGCAGAAGCTGAGAGGAACTGTGGTTTGCTGCTCTAGACACAACTGTATGCAGACAGTAGTGAAATTTTAGACAGCCTCTGTTTTTCTGATGATTTTGCACTTTTTGGTATTTCAACCCTGAAGACAGAAAATGCACGTTTATGCTCTGTGAACATCAGAAGGACAAAAACATTGGAACATATTGTCAAATATAAATAATTCTATAACAACAACAACAACAACAACAACAACAATAATAATAATAATAATAATGTTCTGATTATTTAAAAAACAGTATTAGCAATTTAGAACTATTACATGTGGTTATTGTAAACAGAATAAAAATGTATTCAAATATTTTATAAATATAATGTTATTGCTGGAAAATAAAATAAAAGATAACATAATATTACTGGAAGTAAAATAAAATAGAAATAAACATACCTCACAGATGTAACTGATATTTTTAGAAAATACATAAAAATATTATACAAATAGGAAAAATGCAATAATGATGAAATGAAATAATAATAAAAAATAATTAAATAATAAAACTATTCACAGTCATTGACAGTCAAATCCCGCTCTGTCCTCTTTAAATATTAGTCTTGCAAAAAATAATAATAATAATAAATTATGTTGGTGAGCTTGTCAGATGCAGGATGAAGTTTATCTTAAATGGTTTACAGTTGTTGTTTTTTTTCCTTGGGTCATATTCCTCACATACTCACTGACTGTAAACAATGATTTGCATGACTCTCATCCAGTCGGTAGTTGATTTACACTAAATCAGTTGTTATTAAACAGAAACACTGAGATGTTTCCAACACAAACATATGGAAAGTGATGACTGACAGAATGAATACACTCCTACACAATAGCTTTCTTTACCTTATTCCAACATTTTTAAAACTCTGTTGCACAGCGAACCAGCACATAGACTAATATAAAAGAAAAGTGTTAAATATTCACAATTTGTCCCTAAACTGAATAATGCACAGGTAAAAACTTTAAATAGCGCATAGAATAATTAGAAATCAAAGTATTATGTGTAGTCAGTTGAAGTTAAATGACCTAAGACATAAATTATGCCATAAATCAAAATCCCCGGCTAAAGCAAAACACACATCGCCTGCAGTTTACAGCCAATTTTAGGTGCTTTATGATTCCCTAGCTATTTGGAAATGAGTGAATAATCAGGGCAAACAGTGCTGCATGTGTGCCTAAGCATTTCCAGCATCCTGTGTCCACACTGCCAGGGTGGATTATTAACCTGGTTAAGGTTAAAAGTCAAGCCCTTCTCTGAAAAGAAGCAGAGAATGTTTCCACTGAAGCTGTGGTGGATTTTCACCACTGGCACGAGAGTTAATATGCAAACTGCAAAGCAGATTTAATATGATTTGTTTTTGTTTGAGACAATATGAGAAATATAATAATGTAGAACAGTAAAGTTAAAACAAAAATATTATGAACATTAATTAAAGAGAATTGTTTAGAGTCAGTAAGAAACAGCTTTTTTTATATAAATTTTAATAATTATTTAGAAAAAAATGTCTTTTAGATATTAAGTTTGGTCAATTATAATACGGAAAATAAAAATAACGTATCGTGAATACTGTATAACTATAATTAAATTAAATAAAATACTATAACAAATGTTGGGTCAATACAAAACTATAACAAGCTCTTATTAAGCTAAATAAAAGTGTGAATTTACTGAATAAAATAAGTTATTCTCATATTTTTTGGAAACTAGTTTAAAAAAGTTGTGGCATGGTGGTGCATTGGTCAGTGCTGTCACCTCACAGCAAAAAGGTCCTTCAGGTTGGGGGTTGTGGGTTGAGGGTTGAGCGTTGGGCTAACGACCCACCTCCTAAAAATGAGATGTTACGAAACACTAACATGGTGCGGCTAAATATCAACTTCGATAGAAACAGCCCTGGGAGTAAGTTTAAAAAAACTTTTCAACTATACAATTTTAAGGGTACATT